AAAGTTTATAAATTGCTCCTCAGTAAAAATAAATGTTCAGGGGGAAAAGTAACATTAAATATATTCATCATCCTCAGTCAATTACTAAATAAAATAATGTATCTGGGTTACTAGTCAAAATGCTTCAGACTTAATTAATATTCTTTCATGCATTCAACTAATATTTGTTGAGAGGCTAGTATGCTCCAAAAAGAGAGGATAGAGTACTGAGCCAGAAAGGCTAGCTCTTTCTACTTGTAGAATTTGCATTTCAGTAGAAGGACACAGACAAAATATAATTAAATGGATTTTTTAAAGTTTATTTATTTATTTTGAGAAAGAGAGCACGTGTGGGCAGGGCAGAGAGAGGGGGGGAGAGAGAGAAGCCCAAGCAGGCTTCAGCACAGAGCCTGCTGATGTGGGGCTTGAACTCGTGAACTGTGAGATCATGACTTGAGCCCAAAACAAGAGCTAGATGCTTAACCGACTGAGCCACCGAGGCACCCTGATAACTGAAGGGATTTTTAAAAAAGAACATATTTTAAGATGGTTATGAATATTATATAGAAAATAAAAGAGCACAATTAGGATAGTCTACTCACTAAGGAGTTGACACTTGACCTGGGACCTTCACGAGCATCCCAAGAATAGGGAACTCAAAATACGAAGTTTCCAAAGTGGAAGCGAAGCGTTTGAGGAACAGAAAGGCCTGTGGCTGGAAGGTGGTGGGTGAGAGCAGGGACGGCCGGCTGGATCATGCCTCTCCTAGTGAGCTACGATGTGGAAGCTGGATATTTTTCTCCTTTGTGCAGCCGTGACCTCTCGAAGGGTTGACACTGTTGGGAAAATACCGTTAAAAACAAAATCTCCTCTCAACCTAGAAAACCTCTCCACAAATGTAGAAGAAAAAGAAAACAATCTGATTATTGAATGAGCATTCAACCGGAATGCAATGCACATCATGGGCAATCTGCTAGAGAGACTGCAAAGACAGACAGAAATCTGACTGTATTATACCGTTAAGTGGGAACAACCCATTACATTAGGTAGGATTTGAAATTCAGAGTCAGGTGGCAAATTAGGCCCATCTCACCCAGGAAACTCCTTATATTGCTAGGCAATATAAGGAAACTTAAAATTATCACTTCATGATTTCACAGTCATATGTTATTCTTCTCACCAACTGGTCAACACGGAGTTCTGCTTTTATCATGGTTCTGGGTGCAGGTGTTATCTTCTTTGATAATTGCATTTCAAAGAGAAGACGACCAGAGTTAAGACTATGGTGGCATGGTCTAGGGCAGTGGCCATGGAGACAGACAGAAAAGAATGGATTAGAGTGTATGTATTAGTCAGGGTTCTCTGGAGAAACAGAACCAATAGGATGTGTGTGTATCTCCTCTCTCTCTCTCTCTCTCTCTCTCTCTCTACCTATCATCTATCTATCTACCTACCTACCTACCTACCTATCATCTACTATCTATCTATCTATCTATCTGTCTGTCTATCTATCTATCTATCTATCTATCTATCATCTATCTATCTATCTATCATCATCTTCTACCTATCTTTTGAGAAATATTTAAGGAATTAGCTCATGCAGTTGTGAAGGCTGACAAGTCCAAAATCTACAAGGGTAGCCTGGCAGACGGGAAACTCAAGAAAGAGTTGACATTGCAGGTCAAGTCCAAAGGCAGTCTGGGAATTTTTTCTTTTTCAGGGACCTCAGTCTGTTATCTCTAAAGCTTTTCAGCTGACTGGATGAGGCCCACCCACAGTCTGGAGGGTAATCTGCTTTACCCAGAGTCTACCCATTCAAATGTTAATCTTATCAATCAAACAAACAAACCTTCCAAGCGACATCCAGACTGGGGTTTGACCAAATTTCTAGGTACTGTGACCTAGCCAAGCTGATACATAAAATTACCTATCACGGTGTATTTTTGGGTAGAGCCAATAGATTCTGCTTTTGTTCTAGAAAGTGAAGGAAAGCTGAGAATCCATGATGAGTCCTAGGTTTTTGGCTTATGGATATGAATGGATGATGGTGCCATTAATGAAAAACAGAAGACAAGGGGCGCCTGGGTGGCGCAGTCGGTTAAGCGTCCGACTTCAGCTCAGGTCACGATCTCGCGGTCCGTGAGTTCGAGCCCCGCGTCGGGCTCTGGGCTGATGGCTCAGAGCCTGGAGCCTGTTTCCGATTCTGTGTCTCCCTCTCTCTCTGCCCCTCCCCCGTTCATGCTCTGTCTCTCTCTGTCCCAAAAATAAATAAACGTTGAAAAAAAAATTAAAAAAAAAAAAAAAACAGAAGATTGGATATTTGGTCATTAAGTGCCATCATATGCAGAGAAAAATTAAGATAGAGCCACAGATTAAAATTAGTTACATAAATTACAAGTCAAATAAGTATAAAAACCTCTGAAGGAAGAACACTAACTGTGCCCAAAGACATTCAAGCACCTTACCTTAAACAGCTGGCTATGAGCTGGTTGCGTGACTGAATCTGAGTGGTTTATAAATGCTGGCCGTGCAGTGATGCCGAAGTACGAGATGGAAGATATTATTGTTGATGAGATAGATGTTACTCAGCAAAACTATCTGAAAAGTGGAAGGTATGTGAAGATAGAAAAACAACAGTTGGGATAGAAAACACAAACTAAAGGTAAAGGGCTTAGAGATGAGTTCAAAGATCTATATGACAAAATTTCTAGACTTAATTACCATTTAATTTTTTTATTGAAAAATTTTTAATGTTTATTTATTTTTGAGAGAAAGAGAGAGAGAGAGAGAGACAGAGTGCAAGCAGGGGAGGGGCAGAGAGAGAGGGAGACACAGAATCTGAGACAGGCTCCAGGCTGTGAGCCATCAGCACAGAGCCCGATGCAGGGCTCGAGCTCATCAACCGCGAGATCATGACCTGAGCCAAAGTTGGACGCTCAACTGACTGGGCCACCCGGGCGCCCCCAGACTTCATTATCATATTCTATTAGAGGAGCCTAGATTTACATTTGTGTGTGGCAAATTATCATAGTAATTGACTTCTAAACTTTTTGTTTTCCTATCTCCTGTGTTTTATCATGAACAAAACACCATATCATGAGTATTTTCATTTTATTGCCAACGCAGAAAATTCCTCATCTTGTCACATGAGGACATAGGCAGTATTAAGATGAGATCAAGTCTGGGAAGGAGTTCAGCTACTTGGGAGGAGCTGCGGCTTGGGCATCGCATGTTCCGTTGACAGATGTCAACTCCGGAGAAGCCAAAAGGAGCAGGTGTTCTGAATTGAGACTCTATTGAGTCCCAATTCCAAGAAATCAAACCAGCAGAAACAAGAAACCCAGCCGAGGAACCCGGCTAAGGTTCAAAGTGGCACCAAATTAGGAACCCAGACGGATTAGAAGCAGGAGGTCTCTCGCAAGTGTGGGACGAGAACGGAGATGGGAGCGAGGCAGGGGAAAATAATCTTTCAAGGCAAACGTCCATTGTAAGCCCTAAATTGATGGTCCAAGAACTGACCTCAGAATGTAAGTGGTGCTAACCCCACAGGGGTGTTGAGGACAGTAAATAGAATATGGCATGTGAAAATGTTTTGTAAACTGTGAAAGGACTCTGCTAGTGGCACTTTTATTCCTTTGCTGTATTTCACTGATGGTTTGATTAAAAATAATGAGCTAATTTAGTCAGACCCTCAAACATCTGCAATACTACTGGCTCATTTTGAAAGACCACTTAAGTAGGAGGAATTTAGTAACACTTCAGAAGTAGTGTTTGATATTTAGGTCATAAAATCAAAAGTCAGTTCTTTTCATTAGTCTATTCTTAAAAAGAGAAACAAAAAAGAAAACCCTTTACATGAATTCAGTTTTGATGTAAGGGGAAAAAATATGCTTACCAGATCCTTTTTTCTCTTCCTCCTCCTCCTCCTCCTCCTCCTCCTCCTCCTCCTCCTCCTCCTCCTTCTTCTCCTCCTTCTCCTCCTTCTCTTTCTCCTCCTTCTCCTCCTCCTCCTCCTCCTCCTCCTTCTTCTTCTTTTTGGCAAGAGGAAGTTCACTTTTGCCAGCTAGCAGCTCTGTACTATAAGTATAAGCCATCTCCACATACTAATTTAACTCATCAGCCCCAAATTACGAGAATAAAACAACACCGTTTATGTAGTTATTCTCATAAATATCCCCTCAAATGGTATAAGAACTTGCATTTATTTAACCTTTACTGCAAACTTGACACATTGTTACACTTACAGGTACATTTTTGCATCTTTTTGTTATGCAAAGGCTATCTTGAGTATGCCAATAAAATGAAAGTTAAAACTATATAATAGATACTAACTTACCTCTAGATGCTAGATCTCTAAGTTACCTATTGTTGTAAGGGAAAACAAAACAAAACAAAACAAAACAAAACAAAACAAAAGTCTTCTCTAGTAGGGCTATCCAGAAAGCACTTCGTTCAAAAATTTGCTGGATATAAAAGCAAACACTTCCTAAAATAAATCAGTTATTTTCAAAAAACCTCCCTAATGTTAGAATTCGAATAGAGTTTCCTCTATCTCAAAGAGAGCAGGGGTGAATCAGACTTCAAAATTCTATTCCGGGGAACACATGCACCTAATTTTATAGCTTATTATATTCATATCTAACTTTTCTTTTCTCAGATGGATATTATTTCTTTCTCGGTTATTTAATTTTTATGTTTACTCCACTACCCTTTGTGTGCATTTAAGGCAGGCCTTTTCCTAACGCTATAGGAGTGAACTCACAGGTCTTGAGGATTTCCAGCTGATTGCTGGGGGCCATGCGACTGGCTCTTCCCCCCTGTCTCTCTCTCTCTCTAGCTTCATGGACCCCCTACCCCCTTCAAGGGAAATGAGCTGTCTCAGGCAGAATTCATATCACCCTTTCTCCCAGGATCAGTTTTACGGAGGAGATATTAGGAATTTTGACCTAAACTATTCTTTGTCACATGTATCCCCTTTAACATCTTTTCTTTCTTTCTTTCTTTTTTTTTAAACAGACACGAGGCAATTTTTAATATATAATGAAGATCACAAGCGCTGCGTGGAAGCATTAAGTCCCAGCGCGGTCCAAACAGCCGTTTGTAATCAAGACAACGAAGCACAGAAGTTCCGATGGGTGTCTGACTCGCGGATTATGAGCGTGGCGTTTAAATTATGTCTGGGGGTACCATCAAAGACGGATTGGGTTGCTGTCACTCTGTATGCCTGTGATCCGAAGAGCGAATTTCAGAAATGGGAGTGCAAAAATGACACGCTTTTGGGGATCAAGGGAGAAGATTTATTTTTTAACTATGGCAACAAACAAGAAAAGAATGTTATGCTTTACAAGGGCTCCGGTTTATGGAGCAGGTGGAAAATCTATGGAACCACAGATGATTTATGCGCCAGGGGTTATGAAGGTAGGAAGCATGGACCGTCTTGCCTGCCTTCTGTCACATTTTTCTCATCTTCTTAGTTGGAACCTAATTGGACAAAATGGGCATATTCTTATTTAATCTGTGGTAGAATTAGTAACTGATGATGTTTGCATTTTGAACTATCTTCTATGAAAACCTGACAGTGAATACATGGTAAAAAGTCCTGAATGATGCTTTAGCAATTTATAATTAATGGAAAGACTGTTTTTTTTTTAAGAAAAGGCTTTTATGTGAGGTTGGTTCCCTAAGCTCTTGAAGGTTAAATAAAATCAGAGTATTTCGTTTTCTCTGATCTTGGCCAAATTTCATTCCTCTGGTGGCTGTGCACAGAAACAACAAAACAAAGATAAAGCAGAACTTGAAGCCTTTTACAAAGCTTTCTTGAGTCAGATGATGTTATCACCACATTCCAGGTTTGGACACTTGATTATTTGGGAGTGTTATCTACAACAACCTCAAGGTCAGAGGAAGAGCCTGCCTTTTGGGATAAGAGATTACCTGTTTCCAAAATTACTATGTTACTGGGGCTGCAAAGATTGCTTGAACCTGGTTATCATAGCTAATCAGAGCACCAGAGTTCAGTCTTTGTGAGGCCGTAACATGTCAACTTTTCATTTTCCTTCTTCTTTTTTGAAATTTTAAAATGTTTATTTATTTTTAAGAGAGAGAGGTGGGGGGCGAGGGACAGAGGGACAGGGAGACACGGAATCTAAAGCAGACTCCAGGCTCTGAGCTGTCAACACAGAGCTCGATGTGGGGCTCAAACTCAGGAACTGTGAGATCATGACCTGAGCTGAAGTCAGACGCTTAACTGAACCACCCAGGTGCCCCATCCATTTTCCTTCTTTATAAAGAAGAGGGAGAGCAGAAAGAGAGAGAGAGAGAAAGTGTTCAGAAAGAGACTATTCGGGAGCATTTATTGAACATAATGAAGGTTTAGAAGTCATAGGAGAGGTAACATTTCAAGAGAAACTTGGTTGAAAACTATAGCCGGGCAAGAGTGAACCAAAGTTGAATGAGTTAAATTCCACAGATCGTAAAATAGTCCCGAGGGATTCAAAACACGAAGATTGGTGCTAAGACATGGGACTTCTTATTTCATTTAAAAATACATCACTGGAGGGGTGCCCGGGTGGCTTAGTTGGTTGGACACCGGACTTTGGCTCAGGTCATGATCTCATGGTTCCTGGGCTCGAGCTCTGCATCAGGCTCTGTGCTGATAGCTCAGAGCCTGGAGCCTGGTTTGGATTCTGTGAGACAAGTATGCAGAGGGTTTAGCATAGTGGTTCTCAAACTTTAAATATGCTTAAGAATCACCAGGAAAGCTTGTTACAAGTGAAGATACCAAGGTTCCTCTCGTACCCTGACTCTAAATCAGCACATGAGGGGAAAGTCCAAGAATCTATTGAATTATTTTTATGAACACCTGGGTGCTTGGATGAAGATGGTCCATTGACCACACTTGCTGCTCTCCAAGTCTTTCTCAATACTTAAGATATTCCTGCTGGAAGATCTAGGCTTTCAGAGTGATCTTGGTATCTGCTCACTGTAGAGTACACATTTATCTGAAGACAATACAGAGGGGGTATATGTAGAGCCTGTCTCTCTAAAGAAAACCTGGGGGAGACAACTGGCCGAGGTCAGGGACTATTTTAGAATAACAGAATCAGAATTACAGACTTAGAAGAATCTAAGTGTTGTCTGGGAGTTTGGACCACAGTGGAAGAGAAACTGACTGCAATTACATGGCTTTCCAGTGAAAGTGGCTGGACTAGAATGTCGTTCTTTTGGCTTCGTCAGGGCGTTGTGAAATACATCAGGTTTGGGGCGCCTGGGTGGCTCAGTTGTTTAAGCGACCGACTTCGGCACAGGTCATGATCTCGCAGTTTGTGAGTTCGAGCCCCGCGTCAGGCTCTGTGCTGACAGCTCAGAGCCTGGAGCCTACCTCAGATTCTATGTCTCCCCCTCTCTCTACCCCTCCCCTGCCCACCCTCTGTGTCTCTCTCTCAATAATAAATAAACGTTAAAAAAAATTAAAAACAATACATCAGGTTAGTCCTGAAAAGCCCATTTCTGATTGATACCTATAAATCCAGTGTTGACAATTTCTTGGCTAATTTAATGAACAGTACAACTAGCCCTGAGGTGGTCTTAACAGATTTTCCTCATACGAAGGAACAGGAACCCCAGTGGTTACGAGTGGCATAATCATATCTAAATCTAGCCTGTCCCCTATATGAGATATGATTTGGAAAACTAGTCCTGTAACTTAGTGGCACAAAAGCCAGAATTGCGTTTTGAAGTGACTAACTACTAGCTAATTGGAAAAAAAGTAATTTTGAGGTAAATGAAAATAAACCTGGCTTTGTCAGAAGGACGGGATAAGTGCATTAAGGGGGAAGGAAAGAGGGTAAGGAGCTTAACATGCGTTTTGATTTTAAGATATGTTGGGTATTGTGCTACATGTTTTACAAACTTTATATTGTCTAAATGAATTTTGAGATGTCTTTTTTTAAAGTTTATTTATTGAGAGAGAGAGAGAGAGAGAGAGAGAGAGAGAACAAGCAGGGGAGGGGCAGACAGAGAGGGAGAGAGAGAGAATCCCAACCAGGTTCCGTGCCGTCAGTGTGGAGACTGAAGTTGGGCTTGAACCCACAAACTGTGAGATCGTGACCTGATCAAGAGTCAGATGCTTAACCGACTGAGCCACCCAGGTGCCCTGAGATATCTTTTAAGAACTGTTTAAAGGCATAGGATCTGCAAAACTTAATTAGGACAACTTAATCTAGGACAAATTCTGAATATCAGCTGGTGGCAGGAGGCTAAGTACGTTGCTATAGAAGGTTGTTATTTCCCCAAATTGTTATTTCCTCTGTCTCTTGTGTTTGAATTCAGTTTTAAGAAAGCAGATATTAATCGTAAATGGTTTTCGGTGCTTTCTTTCCGTGATGTGGATTAGAGAGTTATGCCCAACTTCCGACTCTTTCTCAGAGTTGTTGAGGGACTCCAGTGGAGGCTGGCTTGGCAGGATTTAAGTAGGCGGGGATTTAAGTTTTGACTGTGCGTTTGAGTTATACAGCTATAAGGTTATTTTTTAATCTAGAGATTCATTAATTCTGTGATTCCAAGCAAGAGGAAGGATGGGCTCTTCCCTGTTTTGGAGGAAATGCAGAAGTCCAAGCAGGTGTCAGTATAGCTGACTACTTTTGCCTCACGTGAGGCAGGAGGCAAATCTGTCCTAAAAGACAGTGGAAATGAAGTGGTCCTAGAATTGTTCCTGATAGAGACTGCTCTGTGTACTCAGAAAAACACTGGGGTAGAGACAGAAGGGAAAGAAAAAGGGATTCCCTGGGTGGGGACCTCAGGTGTGATCCTCTTTCGGCATCCTTCTTATCGGAAAGTCAACCTTGAGAAGATTGACTGACATTCTAAGTGCGCGTCGATGTGTCTCTTCTAGACATGTACACGCTGCTGGGCAATGCCAATGGGGCAACCTGTGCATTTCCATTCAAGTTTGAAAACAAGTGGTATGCAGATTGCACGAGCGCTGGGCGATCAGATGGATGGCTCTGGTGTGGAACCACCCCAGATTATGACACAGACAAGCTATTTGGATATTGTCCATTGAAATGTAAGTAACGTTCCCACCAAGAAAATTTGACACATTTCCCACGTCAGCGTAACGAGCACACGTTGCGTTTGTTGAGAACGTTTTCCCTTCCAAAGTTCTTTCCCACTTATTATCTCGTCACCCTCCACCACACCCCTGTACGGGTGTCATTGTCCCCGTTTTATAATGGGGAAAGTGATCCATATTGGCTGAAGACCAGAACACAGATCTTCTGACTCTCAGCCCTGGGCTGCATCACATGATCTCTTTATTTCCACCAACTGCTTCTTTCCTTCACCTTCTCCTGTTCGTGTAGGTTATTTGCTAAGACTTTAGGGCAAATTATACTGTACACGTTGCAATGTCTACTTAAAACTGCCCTCCCAGGGATTTGCCTTTATTAAACGATAGCCCCAAAATAAAACTTAATGCCATGAGCATGTCGTCTGGTGGAGACAGAGACATGTGAGGGTCTCCTCACTTTTGTGTCTCTGTTCTGTGAAAATGATAGTAATGAATAGTAATGACAGTAACTTTAATTTCATTTAAAAAGAGTATCATTTAATTCAACATAGCTATGAATCAAATGGAAGAGGATTATTTTCATGCTCGAAGGATTTTTTAAAATGAAAACGTAAGTATTATCGCAAGAATACAAAAACAAGTGGCTTTGCATGATATTGATGGGAAGCAGCCAGAACACGAGTCCTGGGTAGTCTTTCCATACTCAAGAATCTGTAAAGAAACAGGGGAGCAGGTTTAGATGGGATGGGGGAGGGGCCTCAAGTGGGGAGGCGGGGCTGGGGCTGACGGAGCCAGTGAGCGAGGGGTTCTTTGCTCCGCTTTCCCTTTTACCCCACCTCCTCTGTCTCCTGCTAGCTACCCCCTTCCTTTTTACTCCCTAAATGTCTTACTCCCTGCCCCCCTTGCTCCTTCAGGCTTTCTGGGTCGCAGTAGCTCCCATTCTATGCTGTTACCCAGAACTCTTCCTCCTGCTGGCCTGCAAAGGGGTGGGATCCAGGGTAGAATCTGGGTACACTAGCAGCCTGGCATGGCCGTAAGCCCACGTCAGCTGCAAGAGCATTGCTTACAGTTGAAGTTTGGGGACCATGCACCCACCCAACGATCGCATTATTCTGAGCAATATGGGGAAGTAATTCACAAAAAAATATTGTAGTTTCTCAAGTTAGAGCCAGAATTCTAAGAAAAATACTTGCTTATCTCTCTTGATACACAATCCCACTTAAAATGAATGTGATTTCTCAGCCTCGCATATTATCATAATGCTCTCCTGGGTGCAGTCCCTATGTCCTGGGTGAATATCGACAAAAACTCACAGGCTTCCCATTCAGAGTGACTCTGCTCTCCCGTTCTTGGGGGGAAGTAACTGTATTCACGTCTCTTAGAACCACTTTGGAGGTTTGATTCCCATGAAAGGTTTATAGATGTCTGATCTCTGTATTAGAAGTGTTTTCGTCTGAATCGAGCTATTTTTTCCCGTAAGATAAAGCAAGACTTGTTTTCCAAAGGTAAGGAGCGTCTCTCACCTTTACTTCGTAGGAATGGTATTTTCTAAATCTGTTATCATGGAGTCTCTTGGGGATGTGGATTTCCCAGGTCTGACTACAGCATCTTGGACTTAAGTGGTATTGATGAAGGAGTTGTTAGATGTATGTATGATTTAATCAATCGTTAAATGGAAGACAGATGGTTAATTACTAATCACACACACATGAAAAAAACCCCACAAAAACCTCACAACCTTGGAATAGATGTGTGTTGGATGGGCGTCCTGAGTATTCTCTCGCGTCCTTGTAATTTATGCCTTCAAAACCTGTGCATGCATCTTTTTTCTTGTTCAATGTAAAAATAAGATAACTCTAGGAAATGAAAGTGTCTGATTTCAACACGCATTCAACCCGTAAAGCACATTTTAGGCATCCCATGCCTTTCTTAAAGGGCTTTGCAATTTCCCAGTCTACTTCATTTTCCTTGCTTTGCGTTCCTTTCAAAAGAACATTTGATTTTACATTAGCCTTAATTTAAACCTTAAGGTTAAGGTTTAATACAGGAAGATGAGGTACTGGCTTTTGACCTCATGACACTTTCATATGTGCTCTTCTTCCTTGTCCATCGCATTGTTTATTACAGTGTTTCCCTTCTGTTTAGACATCTATTTTAAAGCATCGTGAGAACCGGAAAAGGAAAAGACCCTTTCTCTCGATCCTCCATAGCTTGCAACTTGAGCTTGCTTCATCGCTTGTGCTGGTTCACTGCGGGAATTTGAACGTGAGGGGGGATGTAGTGTCAGCAAACCTATGCAAGCAGTGAGAAATAGATTTCAATTCCTTGACCTCAAGAGCCAAACATACTTTCTTTTAAATGAAGAGTCATACTGCATTCCCTTCTTTGGTTATGTATATCCCCAGACATGAAAATAACACCCCCCCCCCACTTTCTTTGGATGTCTCACATTTTCTACAGGCCTCAAATTTCTAAAAATAGGGGTTTAAAACATCTCCATCTTCAGATGAACTCCAAACCAATCTGATTCGAATGGTCTCGCTTACGTGGACAAGACTCCATTTGGATATGGAACTACGTGATCATTTAAATTTAACGTCACCAACTCAAATTTATTTTATTTTATGTATCTTTTTAAAGTGTATTTATTTACTTCCTTCCTTACTTATTTTTGAGAGAGAGAGAGAGAGAGAGAGAGAGAGAGAGAATCCCAAGCAAGCTCTACATGGTCAACGCAGAGCCCAGTGCAGGGCTCAAGCCTATAAACTCCAAGATCATGACCTGAGTCAAAAGCAAGAGTCAGACACTCAACCAACTGAGCCAATCAGGCGCCCCTCCAATTTATTTTTATCCAAATATATAATAATTTTATAATGAAAGCTTCTTAGAAATTTCTGTGTTGTTGCCTGAATGGAATTTTGATATATTTTTCTTCCTCTTTGGTGTGCAAAGGAACCCCAAGTTTCATGTCATACTCTGTGGTATGCGTATGAAAAAGGTCACTTCCTTGTCACATACAAAGATTCATGGCAGCATAGGGCTACATGCTTATTGGAAACTGGCCGACGTCGTGGCAGGTTGAACACCTCTTAGAAAATTTGAGAAGTTACATAATTCCTTCTCTTTCTTACAAACAAGTGAAGAAATTATTACTGCCTATGATTTGTAGGTAGAAATTTGTATTATTAAAAAGACAAGAGGGAAAGTTTCATAATATGAAGCACACAGAAATATTTCATTTGTTGACTAATTTCCCCAACATCTTATATGTAACACACTGTAAACAATATTTATCTCTACTATTGACCTTTCATAAGGTATAACTAAGTTTATAGAGTATATTGGGAATCATAAAATAACAAAGGAAAAAATAAGCTACAAGTATTATTTTTTGCCCTGAAGGAAGAAAAATTAACAATCTGCATCTATTATTGCCTGGAGCTGCCTCGATTTAATATATCCTAGAGATAGGAAAATGAGACTTGAGGGGTTTGCAATTTAAGGACAAACCACTAGTGAGGTGACATTGTCTGAATGCACGTCCAGGTCAGCCTGGCGGTGGCATCCATGACTTTGCCTTCTAATGCCTGTGACTTTGGTCTAAAAAGACCCAACTAGGACGTGCAGGCAGAATATCCACTTGCTGAGAAAAGACATATATATATTTTTTCCTTATATGTTTTTTTTTCTAGATTAAGGAGCGCGGACCGGCATCTCTATTCTTGCTTAGTATTTGCAATTGCCCCACTCCCCAACTCACCTGATCCCAAACCTCCTGACGGACAAGTAGGGAGATGATGCCTCTCTTTCCTTGCTTAGGCATATGACAAAAATTGGATGTGGCTCATCTTTTGAAAACTCCCCTCTTCATTCAGGGAGTGAAGAAAATCTCATAGGCACTTTAATGAAAAGGGAAGAAAGGAAAAGAAATAAGCTGCAGGAAATAATGCTACTATTAGAATTGTGTACAAAACATTGTTCCCTGAAAGTCTTTTCTCCGCCTAATGCAGCCAATTCCATTTGACTTCTTTTACAGTTGAGGGCAGTGAAAGCTTATGGAACAAAGACCCGTTGACTGGCATTTCCTACCAGATAAACTCCAAATCAGCTTTAACTTGGCATCAGGCAAGGAGGAGCTGCCAACAACAAAGTGCCGAGCTCCTGAGTATCACAGAAATCCACGAGCAAACGTACCTGACAGGTAATGGCAGGAAAAGAAAAGGAAGTTGTAAGTAAGTTCATGATGGTTCCACTTCTATCCGCTGGAGCCTAAGAGCAGCCAGCATAGGGGATTATAGACGGACATCATGATGGAGTCAGTCCTGAACAGGTGCCATCCCAGGGTATGACCCACTGGCCCCTGGGATGGCAAATGGCTTTTGTCTCCTCAGCCAACCCTCTTCCATCCGTTGCGACAGTCTCTCTAGAACCTGCGTTGAGAAGGATTCCGAGAGTTAATCTGGGTTCAGAGTAGAAGACGTCTCCGTCGCTAGGGGATGTTCTTGGACACAGTAGAGCTGCTATGCTGGTCAAACGTTCCAGGTCCAACCTGAAGCCCAAGGTTTTCTGTCAGCATCATGGCATTCAAAAGGATAAAATGAAGTAAACGCTCCCGCCACAAGCAGGGACCAGTCAAGAGCTGCTCTGAAACCCTGCGTCCTTTTTGCTTCCTGTCTCTCAAACTCCCTGACCGTACTGGTTTTCAGGCCTTATTGGCATTCTTTCCTCAAGGTGTTTGCTTTTGAAGCATTTGTTCTTGTAGGATTATGAAGATGAAAAGAGCCGATGTTTGCTTGAGATGAAAGTATTTGTTCTAGCTTCTGAGACCCACACTTGGGGAACAGAGAGAGATTAGGAGCAGAAAGGAGTGGGGAGGATAAGCATCCTCAATCCCCTGTTCCAGAATCCCCTCCCTCCAGGTCCCCCTTTCTCTGCTACCGGATTAATATATCCCTGAGCCTATGACTCCTGTGTTCGAAAAGCCCTTAGTGACTTCTTATTTTCTACCAAGTAATTAACAAAATACCTTTGCCTGGCATTCAAAGGCTGTCATCTGCCCCCGACAGATGCATTTTGCAGTCTCGACAGAAGGGTTTGGGTTTCTCATCTTTTTTTTTTTTTTAAGTTTTGTGGTTTTTTTTATTGTTTATTTATTTTTGAGAGAGAGACAGAGTGGGAGCAGGGAGGGGCAGACAGAGAGGGAAACACAGAATCTGAAGCAGGCTCCAGGCTCTGAGCTGTCAGCACAGAGCCTGACACGGGGCTCGAACTCATGAACCATGAGATCCTGACCTGAGCCGAAGTGGGATGCTTTAACCGACTTAGCCACCCAAGAGCCTCTGAGTTCCTCATCTTTATCTCGTACTTTCTTACCACCACATCTTTAAATCTCATGCCATTTCTCGTACCTGGAATTGCCAAAATTTTATACAGCTGAAATGCAATCTTATCCATTTCCATCCGCATTTCCCTTATTTGTTTAGTGCTTTTATTTATTTTTTAAAGTTTATTCATTTATTTTGAGGGAGTGAGAGAGCGAGCATGTGCACACACATCGGGGAGGTGCAGAGAAAGAGAGAGGGGGAGAGAGAGAATCCCAGCAGGCTCCGTGTTGTCACCTCAGAGCCCAACTCGGGGCTCACACCCACAAACTGTGAGATCATGACCTGAGCCCATACCAAGAGTTGGACGCTTAACCAACTGAGCCACCCAGGTGCCCCTGTTTACTGCTTTTATAATAGCTACTTACCTATATGTCCCACTTCCCCTACAAGATTAGAAATACATTTATTTGTTATTTTTCATTCATTTATTCAACAAGGGGGCTGGTATCTGTGTGTGAGGTATTATGCTAGGTCATAGGGACACAATGGTGATCGAAGCCAGTCATGTCCTCTCTACATGGAGCTTAAAGTCCAGTGGGGAAAACAGACATAAACAACAGATAAATACACGTGCCACAGAAGTGCCACGAAGAAAGCAAACTGAGTGCTATGTGGAGAATGGATTATACGAGCAAATGGCTGATATGAGGAATGTCTCATGAATATTTATGCCCCCCAAACCCCAAAGAGATTCACACAGAACCTTCCAAGGAAGAGAGTCTCAATGAATGTCTGGTGACTGACAAATGATGGTGCAGCACACAAAAAAAATAATTATCTAGAAATCCAGCCTCGTGCTTGGATGGGCGGTCAGCTTACGGCAAGGAGACCGTAAGTTCGGTGGTTCTTAAATGTGAAGTTGCTTAAATCACCGGGGAACTTTGTTAAAACAAAAACGTGTGGGCACAAACTCCAGAGATGCTGGATCAGTAGGTGGGGCCCAGGAATCGGCATATTATCAACCATCCAGCTGATTCTGGGGCATATTCACGAGACTGACAACAGGAAAGCAATCTGACCTCACTGTGTATTTAGAAGCTCAGAGAAGGAATCGTGCCTCAGTCTGCTCTGTTATTCGGTTTTGTGTTGGTTTGGGGGGCCTTCCCCGTGTTGAGACATAGTATCAGAGTGATTAATACTTACACCCATGCATAAAATTAAGGGCAGAAAGCCCAGAAAGAGACACAACTAATTTCACGTAGATGATCCAGGGAGAGAAGGGATGATTTAAGACAACCCTGGTGTTATCTGTGCACACTGGTGTGGGTGAGAGAAGAACTCTCTCAGAGTTGAAATGGTTTCTGAGTCAGTGAGAGAAAGACAAATACCGTATGATTGAACTTGTATGTGGAATTTAAGAAACAAAACAAAAGAGCAAAGGGGAAAAGAGAGAGAGAGAGAAACCAAAGAGAGACTCTTAACCATGGAGAACACAATGATGATGGTTACCCGCGGGGAGGCGGGTGGGGGATGGGTGAAATAGGTGATGGGATTAAGGAAGGCACTTGTGAGGAAAATTGGGTGAGGTATTCTGGAATTAAAATAACAACTTTACACAGAAGTTGAAATGGTTTCAATTGGCTTTTTTTTTTTTTTTTTTTTTTTTTTAGGGGAATCTGTGGGTTGTATTATCTTGACTCATCTGAGTTTTACTGGATTTTTGGCTTTCTGGAAGCCAAGGGACTGAACACAGGTTACTTTTTCACTGCCTTCCCCAGCTGCCTAGAGGAAAGGGGTAATGCTGGCGGGAGGGACAGCAGCTGTGGCAGGAAATGCTTTCCTAATCAGCCAGAGCTATTATTGTGTCCCTCAGGAGAGCCAACAAGCCTGAAGAGATTCAGAGGCTCAGTTCACCTCAGATACTTGTTTGAATCTTATCCAAGCCTCCGGAATTTTAGTCAGCAAATTTTAACTGAAATCTGGATTAAGAATGACTTCTCCAATGAAATTTGGAGTATTTCCTGCTTTTCTTTAAGTCAAAAATATCATGGATTGGGGGGAAAAAGTCTGAAGGGGAGTTCATGAAATAAACAGCATTTTGTTTTCTGGAGGGAAGATATTCACGACATTCAGGATTTATTGGGATGTATTGGGGGAAGAATCTGGAAAACAACGGTGTGAGTGAAGGACTGTGATCTATTTGGGGCAACAGGTCACTAAAAACTAAACAAAACAAAACAAAAATACCCACAAATAGTTACACTCTTAAGGCTTATTCTATGTGAGGATTGTGAGCAGTAAATATATATTTTTTTAAAAAAACAGTCTAAGTAGGGGCGCCTGGGTGGCTCAGTCGGTTGAGCGGCCGACTTCAGCTCAGGTCATGATCTCATGGTTTGTAGGTTCGAGTCCCGCGTTGGGCTCTGTGCTGACGGCTCAGAGCCTGGAACCTGCCTCCAAGTCTGTGTCTCGCTCTCTCTCTCTGCCCCTAACCCACTTGCATTCTGTCTCTGTCTCTCTCAAAAGTAAATAAACATTCAAAACAAAACAAAACAGTCCAAGTCATTTTTATGACGCTCAGATCCAATTAGCTGTCATTTATTGATCGGCTCCTGTGTGCCAGACGCTGGGCTTTGTTTCTAAACCTCACGCCTACCTCCTAAATGAATATTATTGTCTCCGCTTTATAGATGAAATAACAGACTAGGGGGGAGAAGGTTGAAACTTGCCCAGTGCCTCCTGTTCAGAAAATAGTTGCATTGGAACCAGGTACTGTCTTTCCATTTCACTCTGCCCGGGTCCTTCTCACAAAGTGAGCAAGGCTCTGGTGGTCCCCAAAGCACTACAGAGAATCCTAATTTAGGTGTGAACAGCTCCCTGTTTCAGTGAACTTAACCTAAACTAACAGTCTGATTTCCCTTTGCCTGCAGGGTTTACCGCTCTGCCCGGTGGCACCTTCTTACATCACCCACACACATTGCATTATATCCTCACTTCCGTCTCTATCCCCAAAATGCTGGGATGCTATGTAATCCTCAATGCCCGAACCAGAGTTCTAACCACATATGTGCAGGGTTAAGATTTGCAGAACCGAAATAAGATGTAGGAACTGAAAGCTGGCTCATTACCCTGATTGTTTTGGGGGCTGGCTGGAAAAAGAATTGGACCATGATACAGAAAAGACGAAAACAAAGTGTAACACTGGACACGAACACATCATCTATTATACCTAAGCGCAAAAGCAGGCGTATAACCGTTTCAGACTAGTGTGCAGAAAAATCAAGAATTGAAACGTTCAGCGTGCGGAAGTGATCCTCTGTGTAGTAACGCTAGCGAAGCCTTGGTCTCTCTATGAAATTACAAAAGCACATTCGAGAAAGAAATCTGTGGATGACGACCATCTTCTTTAAGTGACCTACTTAACACAAAATTTGAATTTTGTTTCTGAACACACTTCTTGCCGATCCTGATTCAATAAGGAGTTAAAATAATAGTCAGATAGCTTACAGTTATTGGGCACTTGTTACATGTTAGGCCCTGGTTTGAGAGGTATTTATGAATTTTGCTCTTGAAAATAAGCCTACCAGTACCTACAGCAGGTGCGGGACGTCAGAGGATAGATAATTCCCTGAAGAAGCTATCATCTTTTCTCAGTATGCCAAACACAGCAATGTCAGATGAAAATCTACTTTACTTTTTCCTATAGGCAGTGAATTCTTTACAGTTTTGAAAAGTTACATATGCTTATATTCTTAACTAATAAATTGTTTACAACGCCAGAGGATTTGACTTCGGGAAATAGCTGTCTTTAACATTTGTGAAATGCTACTTTTGGCATCTTTTCCTCTAGCATACGCCTCTGTAGGTACAGAGAGAATTATTATTCAAGTCACTGCAATTGTAAATGATGTATGAAAAAAGCCATTCAGGGTTCAATAGTATTTTATGGAGTGATCATTAACATATAATGTAGTATCCAACCCTAGAAGGACATTTCTTTTTTTTTTTTTTTAATTTTTTTTTTTTTAACATTTATTTATTTTTGAGACACAGAGAGACAGAGCATGAACGGGGAGGGTTAGAGAGAGAGAGACACACACACAGAATCGGAAACAGGCTCCAGGCTCTGAGCCATCAGCACAGAGCCCGATGCGGGGCTCGAACTCATGGACCGTGAGATCATGACCTGAGCCGAAGTCGGACGCTTAACCGACCGAGCCACCCAGGCGCCCCTAGAAGGACATTTCTAAGGCACAGTCTGGTAGATGAGTATTTCCTCTTGACACATTATAAGTGACCTGTTATGTAAATGAGGTAGGACACTATTTTTCAGTTGGTTTCTTTAACTTACCCTAAAGTGATCTAAGCAATCATATGGTACTCAAAATAGTTTTAATAACTGTATTTTTACTATACACAAAACATAATTGCTAAACTAAAAGGAAGCCATTGATAAGATGACTAATTATAAAATTGATTTAATATGAGTAAATTTTTCTCGCTTTATTATTATGTTTTAAGTGAAAGCAGTCATATTTGGTGCCACTCATCCCAGAGATTTAAGACTAAAGAAATATAAAGACTTCCCCTTTTGATAATGTCGTCTCCTTGGTATAGTTTACAGTAAACATTTCTAGTTTTTGGTAAGCTTTCAACTTTGGAGAACCAAAAGTTGAGTCTTCGCAGGTGACGAGAGTGAGTTCTGGCATGGGCTGTTGTTTGGGAAGGAAGGACACGTATCAGAAATATCTGTCTAGGTCATTATTGTGTATTTAAAGGTGTCCTAACATTTAGAGTTATCTAGAAAGGGTAATATATCTAGAAGGGGTAGTAACTCAGAGGTAAGTTTAATTTAAACAGGAATTGAATCCACTGGAGAAACCACACTGAACCCTAGGTTCCAATCCTGATCCACTAATCCTCCCTGCGTGTCTTAATCTCTCCGTCTCTATGTTCTTCCTCTGTAAAATGAAGGAATTGGGCTAGATACCTCCCAAGGTACATAAAGTACCAGCATACAAGAGCTGTGCTAACTCAAACTTTGTTTCCAGAACGCTTGATATAAATGAGTGAATCTGCATTAATCTTCACTGATTTTTACATTCCAGAGTTTAATTTCATCCCGCTGTTATTTTCTTATTTATTTAAAGAAATCACACAATAGGGTTTACTTTTCAGTAAGTAACTCCAGTATTGAATTCAGTTCGGTTTGTTAAGCCCCAGTCCACCTAATCACAACCTAATCAATGTCCTCAAGTGGGTATTTTCACCTCCTTTTGCAAGTACCTCTCCACCAGATGCTAAGTCAACTGAGTGCAATGTTCAGGTCACATGACCTCTAAGACAGCCATTTGCACTCTTAGGGAAGTGGGTGTAATAAATGTGAGATATGATTATTTGCCACGGAGTCGCTGTAACTTCCATTCACTTGAATTGGTCACACGAATGTGTGCCTGTATTAAGCTAATGAAAAATTGGGGAAAATGGTAGCGACTTTCAGAGAGCTCAGCTGGTTACATCAGAACTGGAGAGTCTGGGCTTTGGTGTCATGAGACACTATCATGGTTTGTGAGGATTGAATGAACAAGTACAGCGCTCTAAATAGAGTAAGTGGTAATTCTCCCCATTGACAAGAATACCCACCTGAGTTTGGTATTTTATTAAAGGACAGTTTTGTGTTTGATGAACTCTTCAACGAACTAAAAGGAATATAGACAGAACAGAGAACTGTGGTTTTTAAAAACGTTCAGGTAGTGACAGATGAGAGTATTTGACGCTGGAGGGCTGAGGTCCTTGTGGCTTGTTTTTTTAATCCCAGATCAGGCCTGGCACAGAGTTCGAAGCAATGTAATTATGATTCGTGAAGTGCCTAAGCAAAGCGTTGTTCCTGTTAGCCAAAGATTTTGTGCTTAGAATTTAAGCAAAATCTGAATGAAAAGAAAAAGTGAGTTTTAAAAATGTCATGAAATGAAATTCTTAGAATAAGTCCTGGAATGTAAGACTAGGTAATAATTTATGAGACTGGTAAATTGAAATGTTTATTAAACATTTTTATGGTAGAGGGGGCCTGGGTGGCTCAGTTGGTTGAGCCTGGTTGAGTTGGTTGAGCGTTCGACTTCCAGCTCAGGTCGAGATCTCATGGTCCGTGAGTTCAATCCTTGCGCCTGGCTCTGTGCTGACAGTTCAGAGCCTGGAGCCTGAATTGGGTTCCATGTCTCCTTCTCTCTCTGCCCCTCCCCTGCTCACACTGTCTCTCTCTTTCTCTAAAAACTAAACAAACATTAAAAAAAACATTTTTATGGTAGAAAACTCTGAATTTTATCCAAAATAAGCCTTGTGCTCTAAAATGAAGTAAAAATGTTAATGTTTGATGATAGAGAAATGAAAAGCACATTCATACTGGCGTATAGGCGTTTTCAAGACGGTGGGTTGAAGCCTGGTCAGATCTGGGCTAGAAGTTCAGCAGGAATCTTAATAGATCTTACTAAGAATCTTACACTCTCACCTCCATTTCTGTATCTGCCAATGGAGACAGTAGCTGTGCTTACCTCAGGTTGTTAGGAGAATCAAAGGAGAAATGTTAGGCATGGTTTTTTATGACTTCCTTCAAATACATTTTGAGTCAAGTGCTTAATTGTGCATTTGATTTCATTGTCTTTTCCAAATGTCAGTCTGGTTTTTGTTTTTGCTTTCATTCTATAGGATTAACCAGTTCCTTGACTTCCGGCCTCTGGATTGGACTTAACAGCCTGAGTTTCAACAGTGGCTGGCAGTGGAGTGGTGGGAGTCCATTCCGGTATTTGAACTGGTTACCAGGTAGAGTTCAGCTTGCCTGTGGATAAACTCATCTAAATTCAATTTATCTGGATACCATGGAGATCTTCTTCATCTCACATATAGAGCTCAAAGAAAGGAATTGGGAGACTTTACCAAATTTAGACCATTTCTCATGTTGCTTTGAAATCTGCCAATGTGATTTGTGGATACTAAAACCTTACGGTTATACCTGCTTCCCAGGATAGGGATTTGTCTGAGAGGATAATCACACAAATCAATACAGGATTCTGTGAAAGTATATATTTTCTGAGTATCCTTGATTTGCTAGGTATTATATTCAAAATCAAATTTTTGAATTTTACAGTGTTCCAATTGAAAGTGCATATGTATAAAATGTATACTTATGAGATATATATACTATGTAATGCTATATAGTGCATTCAAAGTTTTTATACGTATTTATATTTATACACACAAAAAGTATGAAATTAAGCAAATATAAATTATTTGGGGCTGGACAATTTCTCACTGTGAGCCTTGAGATATTTGCAGCATATCTGTCATTGTCATAATGATCTTAAGGTCTACATTAACATCATTTTCTCCTGTTGTTAATCTAATAGAGTTGGATTAAAACAATATTTCAGCCACAGATGATGATATTCTATACTAGCACAATAATTTATTAGCACTTTTGTTGGCAATTTTTAGTTTAATTGTTAAACACACACACACGTGTGCACACACACACACACACACAAACACACTTGGGTGATGATCAAGACTTTAACAGCGTTCTAATTTTTTGGAGGACAGAAAATGCTCAGAACTAACCAACTAATCATTGGTTTAAATTGATTTGCTTTTAACTCTGAAATTCCATTTCCAGTGCGTTCCTTCCATGCATAGTTATGGGACTGTCGCTAGAGTCGTCTCTATTTGCCTCTACAACATGGGAAATCAACATTGTAAGGCAATATCAGATGTCAGTTTTGTGGGTGAGGATTAAAGTCCAATTAAATGGGAGAATGGCAGTTGGGCTCAATCAGATCAATCAATAACGATCTTTTTTTTTTTTTTTTTCAGGAAATAGAGTTTACTCTTTGTTGCTTAGTTATTGTATGTTGGGCAAGTCACTTTATTTACCTTACAGTTTTGGAGTGATGACTGTAATATTTAAATTGCATTGCACTTGCATTCCCAGAATTCAGTGAGAAAAGAGGGGGTATAACTTCAGTGAAAGTGAAGGATGAAACTGGAATATTAATGAGAAAGGAAAAGAAATTACACCAAATTCCTGAGAAGTAGTAGCCACAAGATCAAATCACCTTCTGAAATAATAGGAGAGTTTCTTCCAACTAAAATTAGAAACCTTGTGGAATATCAGCAATGGTCATTGCATAAAATTTTGATCAAGCGACACATAACCATGGTAGCCATTTACAGACAATTAATTGCTGTATTAAAGTCCTTATCACTAACAGTGGTTCGCTTTGTGTGCTATTTCACTACTTCTAAAAATTTCTGAGAAAAGCTTTACGGAGCAGGTGATGTGATTCTCATCTTGCAGGAAGGGAAAGTGAGGTCCAGGTCCGGGTTATATACATGTCGCAGGTCGCAAAGCAGAGTCATTAATAAATTGTGGCTCATCACCTTGGCTTCAGGTGTGAGACAGAACTAGTTTTCAGAGTACTGGTTTTAAAATCCTACGTGAACGAGCAAAAACGCACGAGAGATGTGGGTATCATTGCCTGTATCTGTTGCCTTCCCGACGTTGACCTTATCTGCTTCTTTTATCAGTTTTCAGTAAGATAGGGGATGAGGGGTTAGCAGTTAAAACTCTTCGGTAGACTGGGTTGAAAATCTTGAGAAACAATCTTAGTTTCGCGTTTACTTGATTGGCGTTTCCTGTGTCATGTTGCTTCCCAAGCTTTCCTCCTCTTGTCTTTCTCCTCTTCACTGTCGTCCTCTCTGTCTCCTCTCTGTAGTTGGAGAAAGTTTTCCCATGTTCAGAAATTCTCTCGTTTGCTCTTCACAGTTAGCCTTACTTAGCTGTTTGGTAGGTAGGTGTCCACCTTTTTAAAATATGGCTGCTTTAGAGCATCACGTCTCTTGTATTTTGTTCGGTACCTCTCTGTTATACATAACCAAACCCAGTGTGAAGGCTGTTCAGGATTATAAGCCCTAGCTTTTCTTGTTGAAATTCTGGGGGGAAAAAGTTATTTCAGAGAAGCAAGGGTGTATAATCAACATTTTAGACATTGAAATGGTCCAACAACAAGTAAAGAAATAGACACACAACATGTCTTTTGCTCTGCAGTCAGTCAGTAAAAGCTTTCTTGGTGAATTTGCGGCAGATGACAGAATGGAGATCCATTAAATCCCAAGGATGAAGACGTGAGGTTTTGGGGGGCTATTTACTTGTAATACCTATGATAATCCCACTGTGATTTTTCCTTTTCCCCAAAGGAAGTCCATCAACAGAACCTGGAAAAAGCTGTGTGTCATTAAATCCTGGGAAAAATGCTAAATGGGAAAATCTGGAATGTGTTCAGAAGCTAGGCTATATTTGCAAAAAAGGCAACACAACTTTGAATTCTTTTGTGATTCCCTCTGGTAAGTGATCCATTTGATCTGAAGTATATAAAATATTATCACTGAAAGATGAAAATCATAGCTTACATAACTGCGTGAAATGAGAGGTTTTGTTGATAACTTATGGAGTAAATATAATGATGTTCCTACAGAATTTCTTTTTGTTGGTTACTGGTGATGGGCAGTAACATTTCCGGAGTGTGCTGTGGCGTTCGGGCATGCACAAAGCCTTTGAAAGAACAGAAACCAGAATTCTGTCCTCACAGCAGCCCTGTGAGGTAGGCATGATTATTCACACATTCTAGATGAGGAAAAGGATATTAAGAGGATATATAAAACCTGCACATGTGACAAAACTGGAATCCAAGAGAGGAAATAAATACCTGAAAGGGATGTTTTTATCATATTCTTACTGTTTAAGGCACCGTATAGGCTCTAATGCTGTAAGTTTAGCATCTCAGATGGAAGTCTTCACAGAAATGGGATACAACATCCCAAAAGTACTAACTTACTTTTACATTTAGGATAGACTCTGGGAAAAGAATCCAATTATGCGCTCTCTTATACTTTTATAGAGGAATTAAATTACGAAGTCATTTTTGCCTTGACGAAAAGCAAACAATCTACACTTTTTTCACTATTAGCTGTTTTTGGAGAGACACTTAATGCTCTAAAGGGCTGGATGGCTGGCTGGATGGCTGGCTGGATCCTGCTGGAGAAACTGGACAGTGTGGCATTCTTAACTTTTTTCCTGGACTTTTAAAATCAATTTCATTGCCTGGCTGTAAAGTCAAAAGGCACAAAGTGATAGAAAATAATAGTATTTTCCTTCCACCTCTTACCTCTAACACCCATTTCTCCTCCCTGGTAAAGAACTGTTTCTGGGTGTTTATCCTCACCTGGTTACTCAATAAATATATAAAAAATATGCTGATAATTTTTTTTTCTGTTTTATGCAAAAGGAAGCATACTGTAAGTATATTCTCGACTTTTTTTCACTTAAAAAGTTTGGACATCTTTCCATATGATACACAAATAGCCTCTTTGTTTCTATGGCTGCACCATAGCCATTGCAGAGAGAGACCATGTAGACTTTTTCACCAGTCACCTATTAACGGACCTTCAATTTACTTCCAACTTTTTATTATTACAAACAATCTTAGACTGACTGACTTTTTACACGTGCCATTTCACGCATGTGATCATTCCTCGCAGTGGAGTTGCTGGATCAGAGAGTGGGTGTGTTTGCAATTTTAATAGATAGAGATATGGTCGAGATCTCCAGAGAAGGGTCATGGTTCTTGGGTTTGATATTTACAGAGGCACCATTTTGACTGCAGGCATTGTCCAGGAGACCTCAGTCACCTTTGTACTTCATATCGTCTCTTCCTCCCATAGGAGAAATAGTATGATTCTTTCTTCTTGGAAAAGCTCATACAGTTCTTCAGAAGATTTGGAATTGCCACTTTGGGGAAGAGGAGAATAGTTGTTTGATGCTTCCCTGGTACAGGAAGCAGAATTCTGGAATTTAGCCTTGTTCTTAACTCCCCAGTTGTAGGTTCCTCATCTGTAAGGGGAAATATTAATACCTGTTCTTTCTGTGAAAATTCATTCATACTGTCAAGCCTTCAGTAAGTTATTCTTATCTCTCTACAATACCTGCCTTGTTTCACCTGCTAATGTTCACTTTGACATTAGTTTTTGAATTTCTCTGTATTTCCTGGGTTAACCGTTCTGTCTTATCTATAAATTCAAATAAACCAGAGCTTGGAAAAGCATATGAGAGTGAAAATGACACAGTACCCATGATTGGTGACCCTCTTGGGCAAGAGTTCTACCTTGTACCTCATTGGTCCTTCCAATGCTACCCTGTTTGTTCACAAATCCTGGGTCTCTAAACCTGCACTGCCCCGTTTGGTAGCCACTTAACAAGTGGCCATTGAGAGCATGAAGCCTGGCTAGTTTGAATTGAGATGTGCCCTAAGTGTAAAATACATACTGCATTTCCAAGACTTAGCATGCAAAACCATAAAATATCTCATTATTTTTTATCGATTACATGTTGAAATGAAAGTATTTTGCGTTAAATAATATATATTATTAACATTAAATTTCCCCATTTCTATTTACTTTTATTTAACGTGGCTACTAGCAAATCTAAAACTATGTATGTGGCTCTCATTTGTGGCTTACATTATATCTCTGTTGGACGGTGTCGCTCTACAGGAACGGGTGATCTTTTGTGGCTGTCCCATGGAACTCCTTTTCATTGGTTATCTTCATGTTTTAAGATATTTTTTAAGGTTATCCGTTCAGTTTTTGAGGTCCTCAGCATTTGCTGCATTTTCAGCTTCCTAGGTAGCAAAATCAAAATATCCCACCAGAGGGCTCCAGAGTTATACTAAGTTTTTTTCTTTCTTTCCTTCCTTCTTTCTTTCTTTCTTTCTTTCTTTCTTTCTTTCTTTCTTTCTTTCTTTCTCTCTCTCTTTCTTCCTTTCTTTCTTTCTTTCTTTCTCTTTCTCTTCCTTCCTTTCCTTTTCTTTTTTTTTTGTAACGTGACAGTGCAATATCTCAATTGTATTGAGGGGCTAGCATTTTTAAGTATGTGCATTTTTTACTGTTACAGTGATGTAGTCATCGTGGGTGACCGTTTACTTAAATGACTACTGTAAACTGAATCTTGGACTCAAACAAAGATGTGGCAGACAGTCCCAGTCTTTAAGGAAAAATGGCTTTAAGGGATTCATGAAATGAATAACAAACATTCACTGTATTGAACATTTACTAAGGTAGCACATCTGAGAACATTTACTACCAAACACATATACTAATTAACGTTCATTTGGTAATCCGGTCCCTCTGTAAGCAAGGTGCATTGCTAAACTGCAGTTTGAAATCGTTTGTGTAAATGGTAATGCGAAGCTGCCATGTAGCACATATATCTTCTGTTCTTTTTCTTGACCAACATTCATCACACCTGCCGTATGGCAGGCCCCATGCCGGTTCTAGGGCATACAAGGATGAATAACATGAGTCTCTGCCCCCACACATCTTTCCCTTCACTTTCCCCAGCTCATGACTATTACAGTACATTTTTTTGCAATGCAAAATCAAGATTTATGAAATTTGGCCATAACTGTTAGTAGTAATAATTAGGATGTTGGCCACTATGACCTATTGACTTAAATAATAATTGTGTGGTATTTGCAGTTCATAGGAACGTTATCTCAGATGCTTTGTAGTTCAGAAGAACACAGTGAGGATGGGTAGTTTAATATTAGTATGGTTAATATGGTTATATATGGTTAATTTGGTTCATGTGATGTGACTTGCCCAAGGTCACACAACTTGTGGCACACTCAGGTGTTGCCTGAAAGACTTCTGAATCTAATTCCCTGTGATCACCCCAGGATCACATGCCATCTTGTGGGAGCAAGCCAGAGGCAGTGGGCTGGGGCAGAGGCACAGGTGGCCAGCTCACGCTGCTGTGGTTGGTCTCTGTGGCTCGTTGTTGGCCCTTCTGCCCCCACCCATTCTATTCCCCATTTTAACCCAGTTTTTGTGCTTGTTTTCTGAGTATTGCCCTTCTTCTGAGGAATGATTGGCTCCCTAGTGTCCACAAAATCAAAGTAAATTGAAATCTTTTAAGGAACGTATTGTATGTCAAATCTTTTGTGCCTCCAACATTTACATAACATGCTTAGTACAGGTTTGCTGACGATAAAATGCGACGATCTGTTGCATCTTAGTGTGGCTTTGTAGGTATAATTTTTTAAAAAAAGAGTTTTCACATGTAGCTTTATTTTATTTTATTATTATTTTTTAAATGTTTATTTTTGAGAGAGAGTGAGACAGTGTGAGTAGGGGAGAGTCAGAGAGAGGAGGAGACAGAGAATCTGAAGCAGGCTCTGAGCTGTCAGCGCAAAGCCTGGTGTGGGGCTCGATCCCGCGAATCATGAGATCCTTGCGCCGAGGTCATACAATTAACCGACTGAGCCACTCAGGTACCTGTAGTTTTATTTTAAAATGAAAGATGGATTCGTATAGTTTTTAGTTGAAAAGCAAACCCAACCTGGTTTATCTTTTGTGAATATGTATGCCAAAGATGAAAAACAAATATTACCTTTAGTTGCTTATAACTATGAACTGTTTTTTTATATAGAATGATGGAAAATTTTGTTATAACGAGAACAACCTTCCCTCTTAAATGTTTTCCAAACTCTTTTTTCTCTAGAAAGTGATGTGCCCGCTAACTGTCCAAGCCAGTGGTGGCCATATGCAGGCCACTGTTACAAGATTTACAGAGAGGAGAAGAAAATCCAAAGAGATGCCTTGACTGCATGTAGGAAGGAAGGTGGTGATCTAGCCAGTATCCACAGCATCGAGGAATTTGACTTTATCTTCTCCCAGCTGGGATATGGTGAGAACCTTCAAATCTGTAATATGTTTTGCTCCTTCCGCTCTCCTCCCATCACTAGAAAATTTAATCATAAATGTTAAACTTGGTTATCATAGTTTAATAATAGATTATTTTATACAATAAATATTAATCATGCATGAAAGTAAAACATTGTTTAGAAATTTAAAGAGTTTGTATCACAAAGAGAGAATTTGACTTATTGTTCTTTTGATATGTAATCAATTAATAGGTAGTTTAAAAAATACTGTTTTTCCCTGTATAATCCGGATTCAGAGCAGCCTACCTTAAATTTGTCAATAATATTTCATTTATTGGAAGTATTTGTGTATATGTATTTTCTTTCTTTTTTAAAAGATCTTTCTCTCTCTTTTTTAAATGTTTATTTTATTTTGGGGAGAGAGAGAGAGCAAGCATGAGTGGTGGGGGGGGGGAGGCAGAGAGAGAGGAGACACAGATTCGGAAGCAGGCTCCAAGCTCTGAGCTGTCGGCACAGAGCGTGACGTGGGGCTTGAACTCAGGAACGGTGAGATCGTGACCAGAGCCGAAATTGGATGCTTTAACCAACTGAGCCACCCAGGCGCCCCTGTATTTTCTTTCTTTGTGCCCATGTTTTCTCTCAGCAGAAACATCTCTAAATCTCATACTCTGGATTTTCCTTTCTTTTTTAAGTCTATGTATTTATTTTGAGGGAAAGAGAGAGCAAGCAGGGGAGAGGCAGAGGGAGAGAGGGGAGAGAGAAAGAATTCCAAGCAGGCTCCGCACCACCAGTGCGGAGCCCGATGCAGGGCTGGAACCCACCAACTGTGAGATCATGATCTGAGTTGAAATCAACAGTCGAACTCTCAACCCACTGAGCCACCCAGGTGCCTTTATTTTCTTTGTTAACCTAGCTAGTGCTGTCACAGTGTTGAGCAGCAAAAAAACAAAACAAAACAACCAGGATATTTTATTGGGGTGGTTGGGTGTTGGCCTAAATCTTTTAAAGAAATTTATGCCTCCATTGTTAGGGATGTAATTTAAAGATTATATAGAACATGTACTAAACAAAATATTGCAAAGCTTTCAAAAACTGGTTCTGTCAACAAACCAACAAACAAAACACTGGGGAGAAGGAGCTGGGGACACTCACCCCGAAGGGGAGGTGGGCGGGGAGGAACCTAATGATAACGGGCGTTCGGCGATACCTGCTGATTAAATGTTTATCATTTTCTGCTTCCACCCGTGGGACTTCTAAATAGCTGCAGCTGTCCATTTCCAGCCAGCAAAACAAGAGGAAATGGCTGGTGACGATGGTGTGAGGGCTGCTTCCTGACACGTAGAGCCTGAACGTTGATAGGAGTCCGTGGCGAGGGGAAAAGACCAAACAGTTGACAAATAGACAGTAATTGGTAAAGTCGTCCCAGAGAGAGATTGCAAAACCCCAAAGCACTAGGACTCCTACACCGGTGCCAGATGGGATTCTTTCCCCTGCGCATATGTCCCTGCGCTCACTAGGCCCTGATGGTAGCCTACTGCCGCCTGGGCGCAATTTCTCGATTTTATGTTTACTCATTCTGGAGAAATCAGACTAGACGGTAATAATGGGATCAAGACTGATAGGTCTGAATAATATCACGACCTACAAGTCATGATACATATAGCAGGTGATAAAGTGTTACAAATGAATCCGTGAAAAACAGATTCGTTAAGAGGCCGTAGGCCCAAAGAGCAAATTTTGCTCTACTTTCTATAACATGATGCAGTAACAGCAGAAGCTGATATGTTTATTGCTAGAGTTATGTAGCGAAGCTGGTGGCAAAGGTTGCTTCTATTTATTTACTCATTTATTAGTTTCTTATTGAAGTATAATTGACATACTTTTTATCAGTTTCAGGTGTACAACCTTGACTGCATGTGTGTGTTCATTGCATCATGATCACTGCCCTAAACCCGGTTACCTGCATTGACTCTGGTCACCGTGCTGTGCATTACACTTCCGTGATTTCTGAATTTCATAACTGGAAGTTTGAACCTCTTGGTGCCCTCACCCATCTCCCCCCAACCCCCTGCCTTTACTTCTGGCAACCACAAATCTATTCTCTGTATCTGAGCTTTGTTTTGTCCGTACATTTGTTTTGCTTTTTATTTTAAAAAACAAGGCTTTTTAAAATGCTTATTTACTTTGGAGAGAAAGAGTGACAGAGCGCAAGAGGGGGAGGGGCAGAGAGAAGGAGACACAGAATCGGAAGCAGGTTCCAGGCCCTGAGCTGTCAGCACAGAGCACAATGTGGGGCTGGAACTCACTAGCCGTGAGATCATGACCCCAAAGTCCGATGCTCAACCAACTGAGCCGCCCAGGTGCCCCTCATTTGTTTTGCTTCTTAAATTTACATATGGGTGAGAGCAAATGGTATTTGTCTGTGTCTGATTTATTTCACTTAGCATAATGCCCTCAAGGTCCACCCGTGTTGTCTGTTGTCATAAATGGGAAGATTTTATTCTTTTTTTGAAACAAATTTTTGAATGTTTATCTTATTTACTTTTGAGAGAGAGGAGGAGGGTGCAGAGAGAGATGGAGAATAAGAATTTCAAGTAGGCTCTGCCCTGTCAACGCAGAGCCCGAAGGAGCGCTCGATCTCATGAACTGTGAGGTCATGACCTGAGCCGAAATCAAGAGTCAGATGTTTAACCGACTGAGCCACCCAGGTGCCCCTAGAAAGTTTTTATTCTTTTTTTATGGCTTTAATAGTATTTGAGTGTGTGTGTGCGTGTGTGTGTGTGTGTGTGTGTGTGTGTGTGTGTGTACATGCAATGGAACATATATATACACATACCATATCTTCTTTATTCATCCATTGATAGACACCTAGGCATTTCTATATCGTGGCCATTGTAGATAGTGCTGCAGTGAACATGGGGGTGCATATATCTTTTTGAGTTAGTGTTTGTGATTTTTTTTTGAAAAATACCCAGAAGTGAAACTGCTGTATCATCTGGTAGTCCTACTTTTAATTTGTTGAAGAACCTCCATACTGTTTTCCACAGTGGCTGCAACAATTTACTTTCCCACTAAGAGTGCATGAGGGTTCCCTTCTCTCCACATCCTCGCAGACACTCGTTATTCTTGTCCTTGTGAGAACAGTCATTGTGATAGGTGTCGGGTAATATCTCATATGGCTTTAATTTGCATTTCCCTGATGGTTGGTGATTTTGAGCATCTTTTATTACGTGTCTGTTGGCCATCTATATGTATTTTTTGGAAAAATTTCTATTCAGATCCTCTGCCTATTTTAAAATCAGATTGTTTTTTTGTTATTGAACTGTATGAATTCTTTATATAGTTTATATGTAAACCATTAATGAATATGTGATTTTCAAATGTCTTTTTCCATTCAGTATGGTTGCTTTTTCATTTTGTTGATAATTTCCTGTGCTGTGCAGAAGCTTTTTAGTTTGATGTTCCATTTGTTTATTTTTGCTTTTGTTGCCATTGCCTTTGGAGTCAGAGCCAAAAAAGTATTACCAAGAGCACTGTCAAAGAGCTTACTGCTAACATTTTCTTCTAGGAGTTTCATGGTTTCCAGACTTATATGTAAGTCTTTATTTTGAATTAATTTTTCTGTATGATATAAGATAGTGGCCCTGTTTCATTCTTTTGTAAGTGGCTTGCAGTTTTCCTAACAACATTTACTGAAGAGACTGTCCTTTCTCCAATCCATGAGCATGGCCTATCTTTTTATTTGTGTCTTCTTCAATTTCTCTCATTTGTGCCTTAGAATTTTCTTTTACCTTCTTGGTTAAATTATTCCTTGGTATTTTATTCTTTTTGATGCAATTGAAAATGCGATTGTTTTCTTAATTTCTCTTTCTTATAGTTCATTGTTAGTGTATAAAAAGGCAACAGATTTTTTATTAAATTTATTTGTATCCTGCAACTTTATTCAATTTATTCGTTTTAACATTTTTTTTTTCTTTTGGTGGAGTCTTTGGGGTTGTCTGTAAAATCATGTCATCACAAATCCTGATAGTTTTACTTATTCCTTTCTAATGTAGATGCCTTTTATTTTTTATTCTTACCTAATTGCTTTGGCTAGGACTTCCAATAGTATGTTGAATAAAAGTGGCAAAAGTGCCATCCTTGTCTTTTTCCTGTTCTTAAGGGAAAAAATTTCAACTTTTCACATTCAGTATGTTAGCTGTGGGCTCACAATATATGCCTTTATTATGTTACTGTACATTCTGTCTATTCCCAATTGGCTGAGAGATTTTATCATAAATGGATGTTGAATTTTGTCAACTGCTTTTTCTGTCTCCCTTGAGATGATATTATTTTTATTTTCATTTTGTTAGTGTAGTGCATCACATTAATTGATTCTCAGATATTGAACCATCCCTGCATCCCTGGAATAAATCCCGAAGGCCATGATCCTTTTAAAGCATTGTTGAATTCTGTTTGCTACATTTTATTGAGGATTTTTTCATCTATGTTCATGAGGGATATTGGCCTATAATTGTGTGTGTGTGTGTGTGTGTGTGTGTGTGTGTGTGTGTGTGTTATCTTTGTCTGCTTTTGGTATTGAGGCAATATTACACTCATAAAATGAGTTTTGGAGCTTTCCTTCCTGTTCAATTTTTTTGGAAAAGTTGAGAAAAGTAGGTTTTAAGTTTTCTTTGAATGTTTGGTCGAATTCATTGGTGAAGTCATCTGACCCTAAACTTTTTTTGGTGGGGGGGAGTTGATTACTGATTACTTCTCCTTACTATTAATTGGTCTGTTCAGATTTTGTATTTCTTATGATCCAGTCTTGGAAGAATGTATATATCTAGGAGTTTATCAAGTTCTTCTAGTTTGTCCAATTTGTGGGAATACAATTGCACATAGTAGTATCTTATGATACTTTGTATTTCTTTGGTATCAGTTGTAATTTCTTCTCTTTCATTTCCATTTTTATTTGCACCTTCTCTCCTTTTATATGATTGAGTCTAGCTAAAGGTTTGTCAGTTTTGTTTATCTTTTCAAAGAACCTGCTATTAGTTTCATTGATCTTTTTTGTTATCTTTTTAGTCTCTCTTTCATTTATTTTTGTTTTGATCTTTTTTATTTCATTCCTTCTACTAACTTTGGGTTTTATTTGTTCTTTTTCTAGTTCCGTTAGGTATAAAGTTAGATGTTTAGTTTTCTTTTTGTAGTTGATCTCTGGTTTCATACCATCTTCCTATATTTATTGACACTTATTTTGTGGTCTAGCATGTGGTCTGTCTTGGAGAGTGTTCCTTGTGTACTTGAAGAGAATGCATATTCTGCTGTTTTTGGATGGAATGTTGTGTATGTGTCAATTACTTATCTCCATTTCTTTAAGTTTTTTTCTTGGGTTTTATCTTGTTTCTTTTTTCTTTTTTTAGTTATTTGGAATATATTCTTCTGGTTTAAAAATCTTTTTTTAAAATTTATTTATTTTTGAGAGACAAAGTGAGACAGAGCATAAGTGGGGGACGGGGAGAGAAAGAAGGGGGACACAGAATCTGAAGCAGGTTCCGGCTCCAAGCTGTCAGCACAGAGGCTGATGCAGGACTTGAACTCACGGACTGCGAGATCATGACCTGAGGCCCAAGTTGGATGCTCAACTGACTGAGCCACCCAGGAGCCCCCTCTGTTTCTTCATTTTGTTTGCCTCTCTATGTGAAACAGTAATCTCTCTCAGTCTTAAAGTGGTGGCCCTGTGTGAGCATCATCCTTACCATTTAACTTTGCTCTGCTCATTACTTGTTTCTTGAACTGTTCTTGCAATTGTTTCAGACTTATGGGGCCCAGACGTATAGTCCCTCCTGGCTACCGGAGCCCAAGATTCGATGGGCATCCTTTGTACTGGCTGTGCATGGAAATGCTGTGAGGAAGCAGAATGGTACCTGCTGTTTCTGGGGCTGCAGTAGTGGCATGGGGCATGGGGCCCTTGCCCCTGCCTCTGGAAGGGCTGCAGCATCAGTGTGGTGGGGTGGGCAATAGTGGATCAGATTGATAGTGCAAAAATGGTGGCAACCAGTGCCAGCACAAGCAAGGTAGAGGAGGAAGGTAAAATGGTGCCTGTCAACATCTTTCTCTGGAGAGAGTTCCAACAGGCTTTTGCCCCTCTGGCAGAAGTTTTAAGATTATCAAGTGAATCTCCTTTGCATGTGGTCTAGGCTCTACTTTTTCCCCGGGCCCTGGGGTGAGTAAGTCCACATGTGAGATCTTCATGAGTGGATTCTCTGTTCCCTACAGCCCTATGGTTCTCTTGGATTTAAGCCCCGTTGGTTTTCAAAGCCAGACATTTGGGGGCATTATCTCTCCAGTACACATCCTGAGAGTGGGGGGTGCCCGGTGTGAGACACAAACCCATTACTCCCTGAGGAGAAGTTCCATATTTGTGAGACCCTCCTGATGGTGGGTGGCTACACCCTAGTGGAGTTTTTGGCAAGACGAGGTCTCTGTTTCTCCTACCCGTATTTCAGTTTTTGTTGTACTGTAGTTGTTCAGCTGGTTCTCAGGTTCCTTTCAGAGGGAATTGTTCCATATGTAGCTATAGATTTGTTGTCTGCATGGGAGGACGTTAGTTCAGGATCCTTCCATGCTGCCATCTTGAACTGCCTCTGGCAAAGGTTGCTTTTCTTAAAATTTGTTTTTTTTTAATGTTTGTTTATTTTTGAGACAGAGAGAGAGAGAGCATGAACGGGGGAGGGTCAGAGACAGAGAGGGAGACACAGACTCTGAAGCAGGCTCCATGTTCTGAGCTGTCAGCGCAGAGCCGGACGCGGGGCTCAAACTCACAGACCGTGAGATCATGACCTGAGCCGAAGTCGGAAGCTCAACCGACTGAGCCACCCAGGCGCCCCAGAGGTTGCTTTTCAATTCAGAAGAGGAATTAATAAATTTTTACTAGGGAAACCTTCCCTTTTTTGTCATGGATAAGACTTCTTTATTTAAAACAGTGAAAATAATATGGATAAAGGTAAAGAAAGTTGTAAAATTATTTTTTTCTGGATCAAAAGCCTAGAAAAATTTTTCTAGCTAGTTGAGATAATTATCTTTTTTTTTGGATATTTTTTATACTGATTGTGGAAATAGAGTGGAGAAATTGGGACTTGCGCACCTAGGTTATGACTACATCAACTAAGACAGCTTCCCTAACAGACTCGTAACAATTGGTTTAACGGCTTTTTCCGCTTGTGTATTATATATTTTTATAGAGTGTAGGCTGTGTTTAGGAATTACAAAAGCTAGATGGCGGTGCACAATGTAGTAAGAAAAAATGTTATAGGGAACTCTTAACACTTTATTTTAACTGTGGGCCTTGGGAGTTTCGGGTTTTATTTTTATTTTATTTACTTATTGCGGGGGCAAGGGGAGAGTTTAGGTTTTTATTAGCTTTGAACCTAAATCCTGAAAGGGCATATGAGGTCATTTTGAAGCCTACAGTTGCTGCCCAAAAGATCATGAGCTGCCAAATTAAGTGAAAGGAAAAGGGTTTCATCCTGGCACCCTCATTCATGCCTCATGGTGCTGGAAACATCTGCTGGGGCTGGCAATGGGCCAATCAGTGACTTCTCCAAAAGCAAGTTGGGAGACAACGTTTAGGAGGAACAGATTAAACCATTTAGGGAGATTCCTATTTAGTGTGGCATTTTTCTCATTTTCTACTACAACATCATCTTTATAGTCCTTTGGCAAGTAATTTTATTTTTGCCATTTAATTTTTTTTTAACGTTTTATTTATTTTTGAGACAGGGAGAGACAGAGCATGAACAGGGGAGGGTCAGAGAGAGGGAGACACAGAATCTGAAACAGGCTCCAGGCTCTGAGCTGTCAGCACAGAGCCCAACGCGGGGCTCGAACTCACGGACCGCGAGATCATGACCCGAGCCGAAGTCGGCCGCTTAACCGACTGAGCCACCCAGACGCCCCTATTTTTGCCATTTAAAGGACAGAAGTCAAGCATTCATGATGAAATTTCCAATAGAATAAATTAGATATTCATTAATTTTTTTTAAATTTGCAAACGTATGTTTCTAGGCATGAAGACTTAGGCCTTACATTTTGTTCCGTTTTAGTTGTAATATTTTTGGAATTATAACTACAGATAAGGTCAATAATGTTCTTCATAGAACTTTAAAACAAAATGATGACATTTTGTATCTGTACCTGGTTATTTTTGTTTTAATGTTTATTTGTTACTTAGTTGAGTTTTTCTGGTATTTTATGGTGAACATCATTACAGATTCATTTACATTTATAGACCAATAAATAAGTCCTAAATGTCGGGAGAGACAGCTCACCTCCTTTGTTTATGTATCTTCTCATTCCTAGTACAGTTATTAAGCTTTAATATCTGGAATGTTCTTAATAATAACATAGTAAGTAAACTAGAGGTGGTTTTTAATAGTACTTTAAAACATTCATGAGATTTAATGATAGTCAAATAGATTAATGTATAAGTAAGCTGTTATATTTCCAACACAATGAGTACAGTTTGTATGGAAAGGTATTTATAACAAAAGAGTAGCTTCACAAAACAGGGGGTAATGATGGACCAACCTCAGCCTCATTTTAGCAACTCCCAGGAGATACAAGTTACACTTGTACAATAAAAGAATACAGTTGCCTTCACAATGTAAAGAATATGTTGCTCAGTGAAACTAATATTGGCAACATAAAGTGTAGTTGACACGTCAGATTAACACTCAAGAGAATGGTCTTTTCTCTGTTATAATCTTAAGGGAGTCGAACTTTTATCAATAAAGCAGGGAGCCTTCCTTTCCCGATAACCTCCTGATTTTAGGAAAGAAAACATGTGTACATTGATTTTGTGTTTTTCTTCCTCTTTAGAGCCAGATGATGAGTTATGGATTGGCTTAAATGACATCAAGATCCAAATGTATTTTGAGTGGAGCGATGGCACCCCAGTAACATTTACTAAATGGCTGCGGGGGGAACCAAGCCATGAAAACAACAGGCAGGAAGATTGCGTTGTAATGAAAGGCAAGGTAAGGCAACTTTATTTGCTGATGCCTAGCAAAAGCCACAGGGTATGTTCCGTTCTGCCTCACTTATTACATATTATTATTGTTTAGGTTGCTTCTAGTCCAGGTGATCTATCTGTGTTTCTATTGTTTGGCAAAGTCCAATTTTCAAGGGGAAGAGAAAAGCAGCAGACAGAAACATTTGGTGCAGGGATGAAATTAACCAGTAACCAACATATTCGTCTTGTTCCTGTGCTGGGTTCTAAATGGCAATACGTACAACTTGACTGATCACATTAGAGCTTTGGTTCAACTTTTGACTGGTTGCTCTGAGCAGATGCACTTAGATCTCTTCTGGGTTTCACCGTCTGCCGTCTGTACCTGGAGAGCTGCGTTTGCTCTTGTAGGTTACGTGGAGATGTCAAATATGAAAAGATTGCTTCCACGGCCTAAATAGGAGTTTAGTGATGGAAGAATATCATCAAGTTATCTTTTATTAATGGACGACGAACGCGGTGGTTAAGAGGCTGGGTCTGGATGCCTGGCTTATTTTCTCCTTTATGAAAAGGGCATACTAATTGTACCCAGCTTAACAGTGAGTGTAAGGATTGAATGGGTTAATGTGCATAACTAGTACCGTGACTGCCCCAAACCACTTGTTCAATAAGTATTAGCTGCTGTTTCATCATTGTGGTTGTTTTTGTTGTGATTAATTGGTTTTTTCTAATGTTTATTTACTTTTGAGAGAGAGAGAGAGAGACAGAGTCCGAGCAGGGGAGGGGCAGACAGAGAGGGAGACAGAGAATCCGAAGCAGGCTTCTGGCTGTGACCTGTCACATAGAGCCCCATGCGGGGCTCAAATTCACGAACTATGAGATCATGACCTGAGCCGCAGTCAGATGCTCAACCGACTGAACCATCCAGGTGCCCCTCATTGTGATTAATTGAAAGCTTAAGAAAAGAGCAGGTATAAACTATTGAAAGGGTAGGCAGAAGTGTGTCCTGGGAAGAGGAAACCAGAAAACATCCTTCTTATAAAGAACTGAAGGACAATATGGCTGAAAGCACGGAGTTAGAGGTGGACGGACAGGTAGGAAAGCTCGCGAGTGTTGATACTGAGAAAACATGCCTTAGCTGAGGAGTGGCTAAACCAACTTTTCAATGTATAGCTGTCACTCTGGCTGAAGATTGAGGACCAGATGGCAGTGGGTTGCAACTGAGTGAGAAATGAGGAACCAGAGGCAGGCAATACAGAAGGCGTCTGTAGGAGACTGAAGGAGAGGAGAGGTCATTTTGATGTGCAGTCGTTGAGGAAGGGGGAGAAGGTGGAATCTGAAGCAGGCTGGGAGGCAGAGTCGTAGACCCAGGAGGACACTCCTCAGTACAAATTGGAAAAGGGAGGAGAGAGGACTGGTTTCAAGGTGTGTTTTCAAGTTTGGTGTGTTGGGTGAGGGAGTTTGTCTGGAAGGCTTTCTCTGTACTTGGTCAACTTGAAAACAGCTGACGGGAGAGGCTGCATGTAGACCTTCTGTTGGTATAATCACTTAGGGGCTTACAAGCATTTTTAGTTTCTCTCTAGATCCTTCTACACAGTGGCATGGATAGCCATAGTATCAAAACATATTGGGGCCCCAATAGCTTTTCACCTTTGCAGCCGGAGTCAAATTTGCTGTTTACTTATAAAATGTCAATTCACCTTCCCTTTTCACAGATGCCATTTTTCTCTTAAGAACCTCGAATCTTCGTTTTCCTTTCCTGAGACACCATTACAAGAAAATGGCCTCAGAGTGAAACAGCTGATAATCATTCATTTTTTTTTCTCTTTGCTTTCCGTAGGACGGGTACTGGGCGGATAGGGCTTGTGAGCGGCCTCTTGACTACATCTGTAAGATGAAATCTCAAACCCAACCTTCAGGAACAGTAGAAGTAGAAAGCGGCTGCCGGAAAGTGAGTATAGAACATACGCCAATCATTTCAGACCAGCAAATATTCTGTGATATCTTGGCTTTACTTTTGCCTGGGAAAGTGTTGTATCATTGTGATAGGTAGTCAGAAGGTCTAACTTTTTAAATGTTCAACTGTTTGTTGGTAGTATTTGGTATTTGTTCTCCCTGAAGTCTTCTTCAGGTGCCCTCTACAGCCAATATGGGTGCATGTGATTCAGAACGTCGGGGGAATCCTCCCACCCCAAATGGGGGAGCTAGAACAGAGAATAAAACCACACAGCCGTGGAACCTCGTGAGGGTAGTGAGAGTCAGATGGGTTATGGTCCTGGAAAGAAGGCTCACTGAGGTATTATTGGTGGTCGATGATCCCATAGGTGGTAGGAACATTTCCAGAAGATAACCATGAATTTCAGATAGCCGACTCTCCTGTCATTTTTCTCCATTTATAATATTTTTGAGAAGGCTACGTCTGACAGGGATACTTCGCAGTAGATCGCTGCATTGGGAGGGGAGAGATCCCACGAGCTGGTGGTAGCCGGCAGCCATCAGTTAAAGTGGATAAAGCTTCGCCATCTTACTGCCCATCCCCCTCACCTGTATCGCACTTGGCGTTCTACCTCCCTGTAACTCTTCTAGTTCTTTGAGGTTGAAGCAAATGGCCTCTGTGAAGCAGTTTCTAAACGCATAAAGAAACTACAGAAGACAGGGTGTTGGGTTCTCATTTTCCTGTTTAACTGCTGAATTGCTCGTCTTCCTCTTTTCTTCCTTTCTCACTTCTCTTGGATAAAAATAAAGTGGAAACCAATTTTCTTTCCAAGCATGTCATGTTGTGATCAGATCGTCTTGTAACAAACACCAGAAAGCTGAGAGTTCGTGAAACACAATTCAGTACTGTCCAAATAAACTAGAAAGAAACATTGAGCAGGGGCGCCTGGGTGGCTCAGTCAGTAAATTGTCTGATTTGGGCTCGGGTCACGATCTCATCATTGGTGAGTTCGAGCCCCGTGTTGGGCTCTGTGCTGACAGCTCAGAGCCTGGAACCTACATCAGATTCTGTGTCTTTCCTCTCTGCTCTCAAAAGTAAATAAACATTAACAAATTTAAGAAAAAAGAAACATTGAGCAGATACAGGAAATCAGAGACTGTTAGAGACATCAAGGATTTTTGTGATGATCAAAATCCTCCCTTTAATTTTTACGTTCTGGAAATTCAGCCCAGAGAAGCTTGGACTTTCTTAGGGTACCGAAGCAAGGCTAGAACCCCAGCATCCTGACCCCAGGTCTCTACACTTAGACCACTGGTTTTTCTACCAATGCACTTATGTATCCTTTGCCTAATCATATGCATATGTGTTTATGTGTGTATTATTGTAATTTTCTAGAAATAATAAATAGTCCTTAAATTTTATGACTTCTATACAATTAATCAAAGTTTATATATGTATCCATATATGTATGTATATATGTATATATGTATATATATATGTATATATGTATATATATATATGTATATATATGTGTAACATATATATATAGTTTATATATGTATACATATACATAGCCCAGTCATTGTCATATCTACAACATGTGATAAAATCCAATTTAATCATTAGGGTAGTAATATGAAATATTAAAAAAAATATCCACAAGTGTTTGTTGAGTGTGGTTATTATGCCACCAATGACCTTCAAGGATAAATGCTATGTTCCTAATTAGAAGGGAAAACTAAAGCCCAGAGACGTTAAATAATTTGGCCAGTTTAAAAATACCTGCTGTTGGCATGACTTCTTCAGAGAGCTAGGAAGACTAGGAAAAAAATACACTCACCGGTAAAGAAAGATAACAAGACTTAAAAATTTTTTTTATTTCTTTTTTGGTCTGGGCCTGGGCACGCGATGACGTGATCTTTTGGAGAATTCAAAACCACAGGCCTGATTTCAGGTTCATTTTTCACTTTGTTGCTACCTTTGTGGGAAATCTAGTGCAAAGTGGTCCTGAGTCGCTGATATTCCTGGGTGTCGGACAGAGGCAAATGTGAAAACTCTGTACACAGAAGTTCCCTTTTCCAGGCTGATGAGGAATCTCTCAGATGAGTTTGAAACCCAAAATTATAAAATCTACTACTGGGTGCTTTAGATGGTGGAATTAATGGGCATGACATTCCAGTGAATGTGTTTTTCTTTTAATGTGTATTTATTTATTTTGAGAGCGAGAGAGAGAGAGAGACAGACAGACAGACAGGGGTGGGGCAGGGGCAGAGAGAAGGAGAGAGAATCCCAAGCAGGCTCCGTGCTGACACGGGACTTCCTCCCATGAACCATGAGATCATAACCTGAGCCAAAATCAAGAGTCAGGTGCTTAACCGACTATGAATGTGTGTTTAAATATTTGCAGAAATAAAAGGTGAATTTAAAACTGTGGACCAACCAAACCAAGTTTTGTTATCCAGTGCTCTCATTATGATTCACTTCCAAATATTTTTTATTTCCATTAAGATTTATTTTATCCTCGAATTATTTAGAAGAGAGAGAGAGAGGGGAGAGAGAGAGAGAGAGAGAGAGAGAGAGAGAGAGAGAGTGTGTGTGTGGTTTTGGTGGTTGTGATGGGGATTTTGTTTGATTTTTAGTTTCTCAATAATTAGAAACTGATTTTAATTTCACTGCATTGTGATTATATACAGTTTTGGTTGTTGTTACTTGCCGAGACTTTCTTTATGGTCTAGTTAATAGTCAGATTTTGTAAATATTCAGTGTGTGCTTGAACAGAATGATCTTTGATTGTTCGGTTCAGGGATCTTTATATATGGTGACTAGATAAACTTTAACAATTTGTATAATTCGGATGTTCTGCATTCCTAGTATTTTGTCTCCTTGACGAAATATTCTCTTTACAGTTCTGTCAATGTTTGTTTTATGTGCTTTGAACTGCATTATATCTTCCTGATGCGTCAGTCCTTGATAGTGTAATTATTTTCCTTATTCATACTAATCCTTTTTTGACCAGAAAGTCAATTTTAAATTAATTGCTACAGAAGCTATCTTTTGCTTGGCATTTCCCTAGAAATGCCTGTTAGCTTTTAATAGTTCTATGTCATCGAATGGCTCTTGTAAAAATATATCTGCATTTTTATTTTTTATCTCATTTGAGGAACTCTTGGCCTTTTACTGGCAAATGTGAGTGTAGATTTTTTTTGCACATTTATATATTTGTATTTGTTTTACCATTTTGAGTTTTATTTCATTTACTGTTCTGTTTTCTTTCTATCTTGTTTGTCTTTTCCTGCATTCCACTAGTTCTCTGGAATATTTTTATCCCATCTTCCTCCTCTACAGGTTTGGGAATGATTCTATTTCTTTTTTTTTTTTTTTTTCCAGTGGTTAACCTTATGTTTTTAACATGCATGTCTGACTTGAAGTTAATCAACATCTCTCTGCTTCCTGAACAAAATGAAGTTTATTATTCCACCTAAACATTATAACATTTTTTTTTTAACTTGGAAATCATGTTAGACTGTCAAAAAATTGAGAAAGAGAGTACAGAGAATTCCCCTGTGCCATCCACTCCCCCACCTTTGGTGAGAACTTCTCATGTGAGGCCTATAGTATCACAGCTAGGTAATTACATGGATACAATATATTAACTAAACTGCACATCTTCCGTTTTTTTTTGTTTTGTTTCAAATAGGGACATTAAGGTTTATTTATCTCACAGGATTCTTGTAAGAATTAAATATGTAATACTGATAAACCTCTATTTTTAAAGTCTATCTCTAATTTTATTTTATGATTTTTTTAGAGTATTTTTTTAAAAATTTTATTTCAATCCAAGTCAGTTAACATACAGTGCAATAATGGTTTCAGGAGTAGAATTTAGTGATTCATCCCCTGCATATAACACCCAGTGCTCATCCCAACAAGTGCCTTCCT